GGGGGGGGGAGACGACTTATTAATTCTCCCCTCTCCGAGTGGAGAGCCTTCCTTGCTCCCGCTGCTCGGGACTCCTGCCGGGCCATTGTCCCCTTCTTGGGGGACGGGCTGCTGTGCCCCATGGCGGAACGCCTCTCTCGCCTTGGGCTCTCGCTAATTTCCTTCCAGGAAGGGATCTTTAACGGGGGAATAAAGAAACCGCCTGCCGCCTGCTCACGGCCATCAAAAAGATCCGTGCCCGGGTTTGCCAGATGGGTGGGGTGGGGGGGCTGCGAAGGGATTCATTACGGAGACACCAGCTGGCCAATTAACCTTCCGAAAAGCAAGAGGGCCCCGGGATGCCGGATCGATGGCATCCGGTTTCCATGGGGGGGGCAGGCGTGGGGAGCCTCCCAGTCGCTAGAAGGAGAGGCCGAAGGGCACAGTCTCCGGCCCCCCCAGTTCAGGGGAAGGGGAGGCCCTTGGAGTTACACTAGGGGCTGGCAAGAAGGCCCTCTGCCCACATCTGGAGGAAGTCTTCATTGCTACAGCAGGATTTCTCTCTGCCAGTTTGGTGTAGTTGTTAAGTGCGCGGACTCTAATCGGGGAGAACCGGGTTTGATTCCCCCACTTCTTCACTTGCAGCGGCTGGATGACCTTGGGCAAGCCGTAGCTCTGATAAGAGTTGTTCTTGAAAAAGAGCAGTTCCTGCCAGAGCTCTCTCAGCCCCACCGACCTCACAGGGTGTCTGTTGAGGGGAGGGGAAGGGAAAGGAGTTTGTAAGCTGCTCTGAGACACCATTGGGTCGTGAAGGGCGGGGTATAAATCCAATCTCCTCCCCCTCCTCTTCTTCCTCTTCCTCTTCTTCGCAATTCCTCAGTGGAGCAGGCTTCCTTGGGAGGGGGTGGGCTCTCCTTTTGGGGAGGTTTTCAGGCAGAGGCTAGGTGGCCATCTGACAGCAATGCAGATTCTGTAAACTTAGGCAGAACCTGAGAGGGAGGGCAGGAAGGGTTGCCTCAGTGTTTAGTTCTCGTGGCCCTTTCTGACACGCCCAGGCCGATCGCCACTTTGGGGTCAGGAACAATGTTCCCTCTAACCTGTGGAGTCTTGTGAGCAAAAATTCTTCTTTGCGAGCTACTGGCACTAAAGCTGTGAGCAAGTGATTTGGCTACTGCATCAATTAGTTTGCTCTGGAGCCATCCTTCCTGAGCTGAGACAAAAATGTGTGAGCAGGAGGCTAAAAAACTGTAAGCTAGCTCACACTCACTCTGCTTAGAGGGAACACTGGTCAGGAAGCCATTTTTCTCCAGACCAGTTTGGCCGGAGATCCTGGAGGTTTCTTGTCATCTTCTGGGCATAGAACAGCGGTCACCGCAGGTGTAGAGGGGGAGGTATTTGTGGATTTCCTGCATTGTGCAGGAGGTTGGACTAGATGACCCTGGAGGTCCCTTCCAACTCTATGATTCTAGTACTCCACTGCGCGCACACACTGAATTAAATCTGAAGGCACATTCTCTTGCAGGGTATACTGTGAGAATTCCGACACTACATCCCACACTGAACACCCGTTATTATGACCGGGTGGGACAGGTTGCCCTGTAGACTGCAGGGTTCCCTGGACTGGCGTCGTCACGGAAGCCGGTGCACTGGGTACTTGGGATCCTACCTTCTTCCACCCCAGCATCTGGAGAAGAGGGGAAACTGGTTCTCCGGAGTCTTACCAGGAGAGGAGGCTGTGCCGGCGACACTGTTTGCCTTTCACGTTCTGCAGAGTCCGAGATGACCACAGCGCAAAGCATCTTGCCAGCAGCTGCCTCTCATTCTGGAGTCAAAACAGAGCAGAGTGAGATTCACACATAAAGGGGGGGGGCATCCCCGGATTTCTCTGCACACCCTCACTGGGCACAAAACAGCCGAAGCTCGATCTACACCCACAAGGCAATGAAGTGCTAAGAACGGCCACACTTCTTCAGGCTCCTGTTTTTAATGCTCCCTTGTGTGTGTGTGCTGCGGTGGCTCAAGTGCGGAAGGCTGGTAGTTCAGCAGTTCGAGACCCGAGTGTGCCGCATGACGGAGTGAGCTCCCGTCTCTAGTTCCAGCTCCTGCCAACCTAGCAGTTCGAAAGCAAGAAATTGCAAGTAGATAAATAGGTACCACTTCAGTGGGAAGGTCACAGCGTTCCGTGCGCCTTGGTGCTTAGTCATGCTGATACGAACAAAAAGGAAGGGAAGGGGGAAGGAAAAAAGGGGGGGGAAGAAAACCCAAAAAGTTGCTATGGATCCACAAGGGTTAAGCTGACACTAAATATTATGAAAATACAAAATTTATTCAGGTGTACACATTTTAAAACTTAGACTCATTAAAAATATACCATTCAGACATAAAAACTTCTCAAACATTCATACATAGATGGGTTAGTGTTATATAAGCATGGACGGCTTCAAAAGGGAATTAGCTAAGCATATGGAGCAGAGGTCCATCAGTGGCTATTAGCCACAAGGTATAGATAGGGGCTCTGGGGCAAGTGATGCTCTGTCTTCTTGGTGCTTGGGGGGGGTCAACAGTGGGAGGGCTTCTAATGTCCTGGCCCCACTGGTGGACCTCCTGATGGCACCTGGTATTTCTGGCCACTGTGTGACACAGAGTGTTGGACTGGATGGGCCTTTGGCCTGATCCAACATTGGCGTCTTTTATGTTCTTATGTATACCAGAATTTGTACAGGATGGAGTGACATACATTCAACTCACGCAAGTTTGTGCTACCAGAATTATTGGTGGACTTAATTGGCTAAACCGGAGGCCTATCTTATATAATAATAATAAACAAATACATAAGTATTTAGGAAACAACATCTGGCCTTATACTGCATATGTATTGAACATCTTATGTTAAAAAATTTTTTTGAATGTATGTCAAACTTGTAATTGGAATTGTGACCACTGAAGAAGGCCCTTTAGGGGGCCAAAACGCGTTTGGTTCAGTTGCACAGCACTAATCCATCTATGTATGAATGTTGAGAAGTTTTTTATGTCTGAATGGTATATTTTTAATGAGTTTTAAAATGTGTACACCTGAATAAATTTTGTATTTTCATAATATTTAGTGTCAGCTTAACCCTTATGGATCCACAGTTTAGTCATGCTAGCCACATGACCACGGAAAAGTCTTTGGACAGCGCTGGCTCTTCGGCTTTGAAACAGAGATGAGTACCGCAACCCTAGAGTCGGACTCAACTGGTTTTTGAGCAAGAGAACCTTTATCTTGTGTGTGTGTGTGTGGGGGAAATCCCCAAAAGTAGAAATGTAGCACAGTTCCCACCCAGCCTGCTCCCTGAGTCTACTTGCAGGAATGATTTTTTTTAAGGAGAAAAAAACACATAGGGGCCCCGGGGGCATTCAAAAGTTTGATTCTCCTCCTTCCTGCAGTCTACAGTGGCGACGTCCTTTTTGCTACCTTGAGACTCTACCGTCTGGTTTTGCTGGAGATGGTGTAGGAGGGAAAGAAGTGTGACAGAAAGGCATGTTCTGCCTGTAATACCACATTCACATACGCAGGTCATGCTTGGACGTTTTGGCCATCAAGAGACGGGGTGGTGGTGGAGAGGAACCTGCCCAAAGACACCTCAGAATCACATTCACAATTAAATGAAGGAGGAGCTTACAGTGCTGTCTCCAACCTCAAAAATCTCCTTTTCTTCATCTCCGGAGCTTGCTAATTCGCCTGACGAAGAGGACACAGTGACGGAGTGAATGCCACATTCTGGGCTCGGGAACCCCACGGACTGGAAGGGATCTCTTACGAAACCATCTTTCCTGCCAGGGAGAAATTCAGTGTTTTTATAGAGTCGACCATCCAGGTAGAAAAACCACCCCTGATCTTGCTCCAGGTGAGTCTTTGGAGTTAAGAAGAGGGGAACGCAAAGCCTCCAAACACAAAACTGGCCTGTGCTGAATAATACACTGGCCCATCAAGGTCAGTCTTGTCTACACGAGACTGAAAGCAGCTCTCCAGGATCTTGAGGTCTCTCACATCACCTCCCACCTGGTCCTTTCTAACTGGAGATGCCGGAGATTGAACCTGGGACCTTCTGCATGCCAAGCTGAGGCTCTTCCGCTGAGCCATTGAGGCATTTCCTGCCATCTACCACCTGATCCTTTTAGCTGGAGATGCCAGAGATTGAACCTGGGACCTTCTATATGCCAAGCTGAGGCTCTTCCGCTGAGCCACTGAGGTATTTCCTGTCATTTACCACCTGATCGTTTTAGCTGGAGATGCCAGGGATTGAACCTGGGACCTTCTACATGCCAAGCTGAGGCTCTTCCGCTGAGCCACTGAGGCATTTCCTGCCATCTACCACCTGATCCTTTTAGCTGGAGATGCCAGGGATTGAACCTGGGACCTTCTGCATGCCAAGCTGAGGCTCTTCCGCTGAGCCATTGAGGCATTTCCTGCCATCTACCACCTGATCCTTTTAGCTGGAGATGCCAGGGATCGAACCTGGAACCTTCTACATGCCAAGCTGAGGCTCTTCCGCTGAGCCACTGAGGCATTTCCTGTCATTTACCACCTGATCGTTTTAGCTGGAGATGTCAGGGATCGAACCTGGGACCTTCTGCATGCCAAGCAGAGGGTCTTCTGCTGAGCCACTGAGGCATTTCCTGTGATTTACCACCAGATCCTTTTAGCTGGAGATGCGGGGGATTGAACCTGGGACCTTCTGCATGCCAAGCAGAGGCTCTACCACTGAGCCACAGCCCCTCCCACTGAGTTTGGGTCTTGGAAACTGCACCAATGGTTGGGAAACAAAAAAACTCAGCAAGCCACTTCCGGGTTCGAAATCGAAGCCCTGCCAGATGGAAAAGAGAAGCTGACTTACCCACTGCATTGACTCCTCAAAGGAGAGGATGCCTGACCCCGGAAGTCCACAGCGTCCTCCCCAAGGTCTTCCCGGCCAGGAGAGGGTGTCGGAGACGGGGAGAGGTGGTGGAGAAGGTGTTCCGTGTCCGTGATGGTCACCAACGAAGAGACGCTGGCAGGGCTCCTGCCCCTCAGACTGCCCTCCTGTTCCTGGCCCAAGAAGACACGGAATCAGTTCTGGGCTTTTGAATGCCATTCGTGTCCAAGCTAACTGGATCACTGTAACTTGGGGCTTAACCTGATCTGGAGAGATCCTGCTAAGGCACTGGGTTCCCAAAGTGGGCAATACCGCCCCCTGGGGGGCGCTGGAATGATCCAGGTGGGCGGTAGGAGCATTGGGTGCAATGGGGGGGCTTTGAATAAAAATAAGGGGGCGGTGGAAGCATAACGAAAGAAGAGTCCAGGACCTATCTAAACCAGCCTTTTCCTGCCTTCTCCGGGTCTTCCCTGAGATCAGGG